TAAATAAAATTTATTATTATTATTTATTATTATAAGGCACAAAAAATGTCTCAAATTTAGACAAGGCTAAGAGCTAAGAGTCATGTCGGAGTGTTTGTGATGTTCAGAATTTATTTTTTATTTTTGTAGGAAAAAAGGATTTTTTTTACAGCGTCCACTCTGCTAAAATCACTTCATTTACCAGAGGTTTGATTTTAACAATAAAGAGTTAAATACCTATGAAGTATAACATAGGCTAGGCAATGAAATAAAATTTGTAAAAAGAGTAATACAAATTTACTAATTATGAAATCTTAATGGGAATTTAAAATCAAATTGATTACTGAAAGCTTGCTGGTAATTTCTTATGCAGTTTAAACTCTGGTTCTCGAGTGCCTGTAACATGCTTTATGAGAGATTCTGGCAGGGTTTCAGTTAATTATTATAAGTTTGGTTGTGTGCGTGCCACATTATGGCCTTTGTTGTGACTCAAAAACTGACCACCATAGAAAAGTTTGTTCTCGTCTAGAACTGGTGCATTTACAGATTAATACGCAATATGTTATCATCCACTAAAGTTAAGAAGAATACAAAATGAATAAATGCCTGTTTTATCTTTGCCGCCATCTTGACTGTGGGAGACTGATGCATTACGGGCTGCTGCTGTATGTCACCGCTATGTGTCTGCTCAGTCTCCATATTGGCGAGGTTTAAGATCACTAAACAAATGTATTGAGAGATGCAGACTTAACCACAAAATTGACTGAAAGCCACCTGATTGCTTGTCATTTTCTAAATAAAAATAAAAATTTTAAACAAACTTTCTATTTACTATTTAAAACTTTGCAAATCTTGCATCGCATCTGGCAGTGGTTACTCATGACAGCCATCATAGTTTTAATGCTATACCTATGCTCCCTTTATTTCAAATTAGCCAGCCAAAATGACCAGATATCAAGGTGGATAAGAATGTACAGGGTTGATTTAGCGTTCTCACCAAAACAAGAGGAAAGATTTGATTAAAGAGCTCCATAAAAACCTACCAGGTGGACCCTGAGTTAAGATTTTTGTTTTTTCATCCTTTTTACATCTATGGCTGCAACTCACAATACATTAATCTGTCAATTACTTTCTCGAGTAATAAAAAATGGCCATCAAAATTTCTCAGAGACTAAGGTTTCAAAGATTATATTTATTCTGACCCACTGTCCCAAAGCAAGACATATCCAATTCCCGGTGATATAATCATCACACAAAAATGAGTCAAATGATTAATTGTTAAATTGTTGGCGATTCATTTCTCTCGATTGGCTAATAGATTAATTGACTAATTGTTTAATTACTAAGTTCATTAATATCATATTAGCCTGGGTTAATCAAACAATGTTAAAACAACGGGGCCAAGGTGTTAGGCTCTGAATCTTTATCATCACTCTGGGAATATTCTCCTAGCCTACAGTGATAGATAAAGTATTATATTATTATGCAATCATTAACACACCCACAAATCCATGCATGCAAACCCAGACACACGCAGTAGACATCATCAGATTGCTCTGTGACTGTGCTGCTCACTCTGACAATCTTCAAGGTGATGGCCAGTCCGGAGCCCCAGTCGGCCTGTTCAAATGGATCCTTCCCTGCCTGGTCCATGAGACCTTACAGAGTCAATGAGACCTGTCAGTCAGGCTTGAAGTAATTCCTCCGTCTTCTCCTCTGTCCCTTTATGTTTAAGTGAGAGCACTGGAGTGAATTTGTCTCACACTATTTAAAAGAGCTTCAGATGCTGCATGCTTGGACACACACACGCACATGCACACTTTTTAGCCGATGGCTTATCACCCTTATCTGGGGAAGAGGGGCTGAGTCGAGAGGTCCATTGAGAGGAACAGAGGAAACCATGAAAGGATTTAAAGAAGCAATAGATCTCCCTGGGACTGCAAAGCCTTCCCTTTCTGTTTATGTCATGGGGAGAGAGAAAGTAAGGAGAGGAGAAGAGAAGGAAGACAGGCTGACAGAGAAGGACACAGCAGAAGAAGAAAGGGAGGACCGAGCAAGGCAGGAAGAGATAAATAGACAGAGTAAAGACAGGTAGGTAAAGTGAGGGAGATAGGACGACAGCAGTGAGGAGAGATGGCTTTAGACCTGTGCTACAAAGAGAGAAAACTGAGCCATGTTGTGTGCAAAGGGAACAAAGGGTAAAACCGGGGTACTAGCCTTTCCACGAATGAGACTTTCTTCCTCCAGCCCTCCCTTGTGTCTTTAGCTTAGTTTCCTGCCCTCATCCTCAGTATCTCTGCCACATTTTATCTGCTGCTCTCCCACTTTTTTTGACTATAGCTGCACCCCTACACCCATGTGCGTAGGAGAGTGCTTTCATTTCACGCATGAAACTGTGCAGAGGGTGAAGTAATTAGGGTCCATTACAGCTGGCTGTGAGTGATGGTGCTCATGATGCTTTTTATTAGAGAGTCGACGTCAGTGGACAGCCCACATTACAATTACATCTATCTACAGTACTATATCACTCAGTCACCCAGTCACTCACTCACTCAGCGGTTGCCCCATAACAAACAAAGCCCCCCTGAGTGTGCTCAGTGTAGCTGGCCAATTATTCTTGAAATCAAATCTTTAAATCAGGTTTTTTCAACAAAAAAAAAGAACAATGGATATAGAGTAGAGATCTGGGGCACTTGTTTGGTACAGACATTCAGAATCAATAACACATTTTAGGCCTTTATAGATGTTAGCATTTGACAAACACTATAATTTTTCACAGATTAAATAATACAGTCTCCCTCTTACAACAGTAAGTTAAGTTGATAAGCAATAAAACGCAGACTTGCTCAACTCAATACCTTCAAGAGTTTTGCTTCTACAGCCTGACTTGGTCAGGTATGACTAGTAGCGAATGGGGCCTAATGTTAGCTACTGTTGCCAAACTTTGAAAGAAATAGAAAAAGCTGTGCAATACCAATATTGAGTCAGTTTGTGACCTCATGACTTTTCTCTACTTGTGTTGTTGTTGTGCTACATTTTACTGAAAGTTACATACTCTTGCTTTAAGTTTAAATTTTCAAGTTTATTAAACAATTTTTACTGTTTTCTCTAATTATATTTTAATATATTTTATTTTATTTTTTTTATTGCCAAACTTGTCTCATTGGTCCTTGTCTCATTGTTAACATTTGTAGTCCAGAAATATTTTAATTTTTAATCTAAGTAATTATCTTAGAACTTTGTTTTTTAATGTGGTTTAATAAAGTTTTTATGATAAAGTTAATTATAAGAAAATCTTTTGGAGAGATTGTACACATTTAATTAAATTTCAGGAGTAGGAGGAGTTTAGGAATAATGTATTGCATAAAATATTCAACATAAGATAATGTAACTATTAAAGGCCCTGCAGTTAAACACACAGTATGTGAATAAGCTTGGTGCTAGTGCATTTTGTATGAGGGTATGTAAAAGGGGAAATCTTTGTAAAAAAGAGAGTAAAATACTAAAAGATTGTCTGAGAAAGAGCTACACAACACCACTGCTGCAAAACAAATTGCTGACAGGAGGCATGCAGTGAGATATTTTCCTGTTCCTGCTGTGTAAATATTCTCAATGTAACATAACTGTTTTCAGTCCGTTGCGATTGTGATTTACAGCGAGACTCTGCAACGTCCTATCATTATTGGAAACGATTCAATACTAAGTGAAGAGATATTCCACAAAAGGCCATTAGCAGGATCACAAACTTTTTGCAGGATGACATCACTGCATTGTTGCAACCTCATGACTGTGAGTCACTGATATCATCCCCAACCTTGAGCTGGGAACATCACAAAGTAATATCTGAGCACCTTGAGAGAGACACATCTACTTTTCCAGAGTACCTCGTGACAGGTCATAATTCTTCAGACATTCCAGAGGTCAGCGCTGGAAGAATTAGAAAGTACACGCTATTATTCCTGATTCTCTGAGTCATCCCAGAGCAGCAAGGAGGTTTTGGGAGGAATGTAGCTGTCCAGGCCTGGCTGCTGCTGCTCTATTACTCACTGTGTCATGTTGGCAGAGGCTCAAGAGACAATCCTCAGACTGGGGCTGAGGTCAGGAACGTGCAGGGAAAACTTGCAGTGCGCTACATCAGCTAGCATACTCCTTAGCCTCCCTCTCACAGAATGTGGAGGTTTTCTCTTTAAAGCACATACAGGCAGTTCACTGTTGTACAGTATAGCCCCCTACCATGCACACACAGCTTGACATCCCTCATCCTTATTACTCCTATGTGTGTGTGATCTCTGGTGTATGAAGCGTGTGATTCCATCTGCTCCATGTGGAGGGAAGTTGACACCACATATAGAGTGTAGGCCTCCTTTATGTGTTATTTCAAATGAAAGGCAAGCAGCCATCAAAGAAGACATTGTTTTTCCTCAGATGTAAGACCATTAATTTGCTATCTTTTTTCCCTCCACATCCCCAACCACATCTCCTTTCCTCTGCTTGGCTGTTGTTAATTGCATACATCTTTTGTTTCACCCTCTCCTGTGATATATGTTCAATGGGTAATTTGAGTAGGAGTGAGGAAGGATGGCATTATACCCATTGCTAGATGTAATGAAATATTCAACAATTTTATATATAGACTTTGTGAGAAATCTTGTGAGTAAGAATTCTGACCTACTCTCTTATTTTTCCTGTGCCCGCAGCCCATGTTTTCAGTCACACCCAGCCTTGCAACCAACGTCAATGCTGCTGCGGCGGCGGCCGCTGCATTTAACCCCTACCTTGGCCCTGTGTCGCCTGGCCTGATGCCTGGTGACATCTTGCCCAGCGCCCCTGTACTGGTCACCAGCAACCCCAATGTCCCCGTACCAGCTGCTGCTGCTGCTGCTGCACAGAAACTCATGAGGACAGACAGACTGGAGGTGAGAAACGCACACATTCTCACACACAGACGCAGGTACAAATAGTAAAAAAAATGACCGCATAAGCACACGCATCACAGATCACAGAGATGAGAGGATTTGCATAATTATTTTTTCACTTTCATATCAGTCACAGATTAAAAGATAGATTAACAAAATGCTAGTAAACATTACACCCGGTGAGGATCTTTTCCCCAGCTATGCAAACAGATTGCACTTTGAAATGTGGGCTGTGCCTATTTGAATATTAAAGGCATGGGTTGGAAAGTCTTGCCTCAACAGTTTCTGTTTGTAGACTTTAATTATGTATCTGGTACACAGTTTCTGTTACAGTAACTACATCCCATTACCATAATACAGTCATTACCCAGACTTAAGCAAAGAGAAAGAGACGTTAATGAGAGTGTCTCTCTATAAACATTACCGTTGTCGATTCCGCATCCCATCAACAGGCAGGAGACAGCATTGTTTGGCATGAGCTGAAGTTATACTGTATCGGCGTGTAATTTTCAGAAAAATCTTTAATTCTTCTATGAAAGCAATCAGTCATTTGAAACCTGATAAGTGCTGCTCCTCTAGCTGTGTTCAGATAATCATTAATTTGACAGTAAGTCAATCTCATCAATTATGCAGCCCCACCCGGGAAACACTCGCAGCAGAATAATGGGGAAATCGTTGGAGGTAAGCAGGAGGCGTGCGAGAACGTTAGGAAGGTTACATTTAAAATGAAACGTTGGGAAGCCTGGTAATTAATGGGGGTGAGGCTCAGGAAGTCTCTGGGCCTGACGAACGAGTGGACGACATGCGGAGCGAGGGAATGGGTCAATGACAGGAAGAAGAGATGGAGGGGGAGATAGGAAATCAATTTGTAGACCTGTTGTGGTGATCAGGGGAAGGGTTGGGACAAGCAAAGACAAAGATAAAAGAAACAAAAGCGAGAGTGGGAATTGGATTTCATAGAGGAGTCGTGACTGGTGAGAAGAAGTTATAGCGGTTGGGGAAAATTGGAGGCGAAGAACATGCAGGTCTGGATTCAGACTGGGACTGAAACGATCGCCTGGCAAAGGATTGATAGCATTCTGCAGCAGAATCCAGTTAACAGACAAACAGATATGAAATATTTAGTAGGCAAATGCAGTAATTGGCAGTGGAGGGGAAATCTGCTCATTTTCACTGTATTTTCTTTCAAGATATTTTGGCCCAGTGGTCAACACTGCCTGTAGTTCTCAGCCTGCATATACTGCTGAAGCAATTTGATTGGGAGAAGTCATACCCTAGCCTAATTTGTCAAGAACTAGGCTTGCTAAAAATATCGTAGAGAAAAGGGCCAGCCATATTTTAGTTTCTAGTGTGTGTCGGTCAAAATAAACATAGCTGGAATTCTGTGGACCGACACACATACCAGCCAGTAGATATGTTATAGGCTGTTTCCTCGAGGCTGAGAGAAATTCCTATTTTAGAAGACAAGACCCTGAGACATATTTTCCAGCAGTCTCTGTGTCTCTATCTCTTATAGAGCTATACTGCAGCCTTTAAGCGTGCATAAAATCATATGTTGCTTACCTGCAACCATGGTGATGTAAATGGCCCAGAGGGACAGTTACCATGGGGACAGAAATATGATTAACAGGCCCTTTATTTGTTTGTCCAACTAAGCACTTCCAGTGGTTTAGCTCTCTCTAATGCATGATTAAGCACTGTTAAGAAAAACACACTGGTCTACACCTGGTGCAGAGAACATCAAATTGCCTCCATTTAGTTTTCCCCTTTCTTCTATTTTTTTTTCCATGCTGGCCACACTCACTCGATCCCCAAAGACTGTCTCCTTGATCACCATCTCTCTGTCCTTTACTCTTTATTCATTCACCACTCTTACATTTTCCTTTCTCTCCCTTGTTTCCTCCCTCCCTCCCTCACCCGCCTCTCCAACATCTGCCTGACAACAAGGCAGTCTCTCTCTCTCTCTTTTTTTTAAATAAGACCAGTAGCAGCAGTGGTGATGGTGGCAGTGGTGGGGAATTAATGTGTGAGAGTGTGCGTGTGTGGTTGTACATTCATATGTGAATGTGTGAGAGAGGTGTATAAGAGAAAGATTAGACAGACAGGGACAGAGAATCCTACCCCATCGCTCACACAGATCGGTGATTGTGGATGATGAGCTGTCATGACAGGAGACAGAGCAGGGTTAGTTTGTAGATAACGGCGCTGGTGGCCTTTTGTCTGGCAGCCGTTCCACCACAAATCAAATCCTTTATGCATGCAGACAGTGAGACTGGTAAACAGACATTTGGTAAATGGCTTGTTCTATCACAATAACTGATAGATCGATACAGCGTACCATGAAATTACATTTCATTTGGAGTAGGATGGGACTCTGAATGCAATTCAGCGGTGGCTGACTGCTGAAACGGACATCTTAAGTTATTGCGCAGCTCTTTAAGTGTCAAAATTTAATTCTGGGAAAAATGCTGCCTCATAATTTATATGTGGATCTACCTTGTGTGTGTGTGTGTGTGTGTGTGTGTGAGTGTGTTATTATGTGTGGGCTGGTGATTACGTCAGCCACAGCCTCCCTTGAGGGTAACCAGCCTCATATTTCCCATGAGCCTCATTGAGCCCCTACATTCAGGCTGAGGCAATCAGTCTCCCAACTGTTCACGCCGATGCTGCCCCCTTCTGTCTCTCTGAGGAAGAACAACAACACGGCTCATTTGAATAATGAATAAATGTCGTGTGATTGATGAGTCTGTAAACGCTGGTTACGGTCTGTTCTGCTTATCAATCAACAATAATGGCTAAACCTGTCATTAAGATTGGTTAGCTCTGTCTGGTAAAGTGATTGTCAAGTTCTGAAATGACTGAACAGATTGATTACTTCATCAAATGTGAAGTAAAGTGAACAGTAACTTCATAATGTGTGTGTGGGTTCTGGTGAGTGCGTGTATTTCTGAGTGTGTTTTAGGTTTATGAAATTTGTCTAAACATAATAAAAGCAGTAAAATGTGTTTTTCTGCACCAGGTGTGTCGGGAATACCAGCGGGGTAACTGCACACGCGGGGAGAACGATTGTCGCTTTGCCCACCCTGCAGATAGCACTATGATTGACACCAACGACAACACAGTCACTGTGTGTATGGACTACATTAAGGGCCGCTGCTCGAGGGAGAAGTGCAAGTACTTTCACCCTCCGGCTCACCTGCAGGCCAAGATCAAAGCCGCCCAACACCAAGTCAACCAGGCTGCGGCTGCTGCAGCCATGGTAGGTATCCGTCCACAGATCACAACAACAAGAAGGACTCAAGCTATAGAGCATCTACTGTATCATAGCTTCATCAGTCCTGTGCAGAAAACAAATACCACTGTGACCTAGAGCAGAGTTCATATAGTTATTTCAGAAATCCAGGACAAGCCAGACTTGATTTCTCATGTGAACTAAAACAAATCATTATGCTCTTCTAATATCAATGTGGGCTCATTAAAGATGACTGGGGTCTGTCTGGGTTTTGAGCACACAATACAAACACTCTTATTTGGGAATATGAGCCTTGATTTTCCCATTTCTTATGGATGTAGTTGTCTGAGTCAACATCTTCTACCCTGTGCTTTTAATCAATCTCCCAGCACACATTCCAGTTTCCTCTGTTCCTGCTCTCTTCAGCTCTGACCTAATACACACTGAGAAGATACAGAGTCGATGTGTGCTTTATTAGCAGCAGACTGTAGTGATTGTGCTAGTATGTGACTGAGCCTACTGCTCCCCTACTCCTGCTCCTCCTTGTTTTGCTGCTTTGTTAGTTGTATTTTTTGCTGTTCGCAGTCAGTAGGTATGTAAATGTTTTTGCTGAAAAGACAACTGTGAAGACTAGTGTTCATTTCAACCTTGTTTCTGCAATGCAGTAATAACTAAAGTTAAAAATGACACAGTCAGGTTTCGCTCAGCCAAGTACTGTAAATGACATTTTGCAGCAGGTATTCCAGAAAGGAGGATAAGCTTTCATGGTATTTATTAGAGCCAAATTAGAGATGATATATTAGACTTGACTCCACATTTTAACAATATTATCAGTATATCTACCCTTTTTAACCTTTTCTTTTTAAAAGGTTTAATGTCGTGAGCAGTTCAGTTCATGTCGTCTTATTTTGACTAATTTATCTTTATCTTTATTATTATTTAATTTTTTACTTACAGTCTAATTTTGTGAACAAATAATTTTTGGAAAGTGCTTGGATCAGTTTTTAAACATATTTTAAATATGCTTAATTCAATAAAAGATATGAGAAACAACAATACAATTGTACAGTGAAAAGAACGATCAAATAAATATAATATAGCCCATGATGTATAAACTCATAGAACACAAAGTGGTTTTAGTTTAGCTCGAAGTGTATGAACATGTATGTCTTACACTGCATGTAGGTTAAAATATAATAAGCAAGCTAATAAGTGGTTAATAGTGGTTCATTTTTCATGTCCCGGTATAATAAGGAAATAACAAAAGGTTAGTATTTGAAAGCACACACTGAAGTGTGAACTTTATATTTAAGCAATCTTAACCTTGTTAGTGGCAGATTATATCTACTGTAACTGTGACAACTTAACAGTTTTATATATAATGCTGACTTATGGCTATAAACACGCTGTTTCGTTCCGTTTGGAGGATTATGATGATTGCACCCATTGATTGAGAGTTGAGTTGCCGGCCCGGGACCAGGATCAAGTTAACCTGCCATTATAGCTGTGTATTTTCGTAGCCATAGCCCAGTCACAGACTGTAAGTATCTGGAGCAGGGGCTTCATAGTGTGTCTATACAAAAATCATGGATTGCCTTAAATTTGAATTTAACAAATGGTTATCTGGCTAATCTTCCTTTCTGGACCACAACACCATTGCACTCAGTTATAGTTCATGAAACAGAATTTTCTTCTGACAGTAAACTACTTTGAGGGCCATAATTCTTTTCAGTAACCCTACAGCCATTAATGTGCATGTCCTAGTCTTGTTATTGTTGTATATTGCATTCCAATGATTTGTTTTTTTATTTGTTTGTTTGTTTTTTTGTTTGTTTTTTTTCTCACCAACCCACACTGCACTGCTGCCCCCATGATGCACCTCCGCTTGCTGGTTTATGTTAATGCGC